ACTGCTATATAAAATCAGCATCCGTCCAGTATGATCCCACTCACACATGAAAGGAATCGTACTACGATACGACTGACTAGTACTCTTTGGCTTCTGCTTAAAGACCTTCAGGGTGAGGGAATCCACCGTCCCTCTAGTTAGCCCCAGTCCGTTTTGGGGCAGCTTCAATTGTTAGGAAGTTTTACCTGACATCAAGTCTAAGTTTGTCTCTTTGCAACTTCTGCTTATGGAAATTCTGACTACAGGGACCACATAGAACAAGTCTGATCTCTCCTCAACATGGCAGTCCTTCAAGAGACTTAAAGACAGCTATTATATCCCCTCTTGTCCCCTCACACCCCATTCTCCTTCAAGCTAAATAGTTTCAGTGCTATTAGTGATCCCCATGGACATCAGTCTCTTCATCATTCTTGTTTACCAGCCTGCACTCTGGACCTCCAGCTCAGGCTATGGGGCCTAGATCTGAACACAGTTCCTTTGGTGAAGGCAGAATGCAGGATGATAATTTGTTGCTTCCTGAAAAAGCTGTGCTTCTCTTAGTGTCGTTGAAGATTGAATGAGCAGACCACATAGCATAATGACTAGTGTGCCAGACTTTGTGTTAGGAAGACCTGGGTTTGAATTCTGCCTCAGACACTTACTAACTGTGTGATCCTGGGCAAGTCACTAAAACTTCCTAACCTGAGTGCCCTTATCTGTGGAACAGGGATGATGATAATAATAATAGCACCTACTTCACAGGATTGTTGTAAGTATCAAATAAGGTAATACATATAAAGATTTGCAGTCCTTAAAAGGTATGTAAATATTAGCTGCTATTTTTGTTGTTTTTGTTAGGGTTTTCTGGTTACATCACACTGCTGGCTCATGTTGGGTTTTCAGTCCATTATTTTTTCAGCTATTTTTCAGAAAAGCTGCTGTTTAACCATGCCTCTCTTATGCTGTATTTTAAGAATTTGGTTTTTTGTGTGTAAGATTTTAAATTTATCCCTATTGAATTTCATTTTATTTGATTCAACCCATTGCTTTAGCCTTTCAAGATCTTTTTGGATTCTCAGTTTGTTATTCAGTGTGTTAACTATTCTTCCCAGCAATAGATCATCTACAGATTTGATAAGAACGCTCTCTATACCTTTAAGTCACGGATAAAGATATTAAACAGCATGAGGTCAAGTGTAGATCCTTGGACCCAGAGATCTTCCATTGGAAACCTCCTGCCACAGTCATGTTGATCTGTAGTTGTTCCCCCATCCATACTCACTGATATGTGGGAGAAAGAGCTCCCATCTGGTGGTGTGCTGAGCTCATGGAGTAAACCATGATAATTATCTTGAGTCCATCTAGTTAATTGTATTGCCATCTAGTCTAGCACTTATAAGACTATAAAGTAATATGTCAATGCATGTAGCTGTTGATAATAAATATGTACATCAGTATGTCAGGGATCTATAATTTCGTCAGCATGGGCACCCCTTTAGCTCCCTATCCCTGATGACGTTTTAGATAGTCTTTAAGGCCATCACCCCATAACCAACTCAGTAATGAGCCTCCCTGAACCCAGCGAAGTTGGTTCTCACACTACAGACACAATAGTCTTTTCCCCTTGGTGTAGTACCTTCCAGAACTAGTGTTCTACTGGCAGATCCTTAGAGAACCCAGAGTCACTTACAGACCAGGTTGAGACACTCAAGCAATATGGACAGACACACATGGTTCATATATGCAATGTATAAAATTCAAGTACATACATATGTATATATGTACTATGAGGATATGTATCTGATGGCTAATCTCAGCGCATGTCATTTTAATTTCTGTTACCTCAGGGACTTGTTCTTTTGTAGACAGGCAATGCCAGATGCCTTGAGGCAGACCTCTCAAAAAGTCCTTCTATTTTTGTCTTATTCTTTCCTATGTTGGCCATGTTCAACCCCTCCTTCTGTCCTCTGAGAACTATAGAGGCTAGCCCTTTGCTGGGTTGGAAATTCATTTTATAACTGCCTTCACTGTACCAGTACTGTACTGACTCAGGCCTCCCACATCCAGCCTTATCCCCTGTTTCCTTTAGAATAACATCAACTTTTAGAGGTCATGAAGAGGCCATTTTAGGGTTATGGAATGAGGGGCGAAGCTTCAAGGAAAGTACCTTCTTGGGAATATCATGATAACATAAACTTTTTTTTTGGTAATGCTATTAAGTACTTAGTAATACAACTATAAGGCAAAAGAGGTTTTGCTGTTCAATGAAAGTAAGCAACAGAATACAATGGAACAAGCACTACCTTTGGACTCTTAAGACTTGAGTAAAACTCCGCCTCTGAAGCTTCATACTTGTATGACCTCAGGCAACTCAGTTTCTTCATCTGTAAAACAAGAGGTTTGGATGACAGCTGAAGCATCATGCTTTAAATCCATGATCTGTGGAAATGCCAAAAACCCCAGCAAGGCCCAATTCTAGGAGGGAAAATTCAGGATGATTTAGAAAATAATATTCTATTCAAGTCTGAGATAAAATCAAAATAAGATTAAGCAACTATTGAAAGTAAAGATCAGTAAGATAACTAGATGATTACATTTTTGAAAATCCTGCTCTCATACTATGTACTTGATTCTTAAAAATGATAAATTCATATATATATATATATATATATATATATATATATAAAATAAAATTGTATTTGTGCTTAGCTATTTGACAGCTACCATTATAATAAAAAGGCATATTTTTATGGAAAAAGCATACTGACCTTTTGGCTCAGTAACCTTGCCTATGAGAAATCTGGCTATGCAAACCATAAGGCCATTACTCAGTTTTAGCTATAGCACATAGCAGGAAATAAAAGAGATTAACAACAGCACATGTCGTCTAATTTTGTTGACAAATTTTTGGTGAAAAATGGAATACAGGAGTAAAATATAATTTTGTTTAAGATTTTGTTTAAGTCTCTTTAAAATTGAAAAGAGGGGCAGCTAGGTGGCGCAGTGGATAGAGCACTGGTCTTGAAGTCGGGAGGACCTGAGTTCAAATGTGGCCTCAGACCAAACACTTGACACTTACTAGCTATGTGACCCTGGGCAAGTCATTTAACTCCAATTGCCTAAAAAAATAAATAAATAAAAATAAAAATTTAAAATAAAATTAAAAAGAAACTTTGAATATAATAATCTGTGTTGATTAGAAATAATCATTTTCTTTTGTACCTTAGTACCTTTTAAGTTTTTCAAGTGTTCTCCTAATAGTTTTTCTTTATCATGCATGGACATGTTTTGTCCCCACTCCCTTGCCTTGACCAAGTCAGCTCACAATTAAGTTTTTCTAAAGATTAATGCCTAAAGAATGTGTTGTTAAGTTGTTAGTGGGAGTAATGAACATAGGAAGTTGAATCTGTTACAGCAACTAATGATCCTCAGCAAGATGTCATCTAAAGTCTTGTCTTTTTGTAGCCATAACACTACTTTACCTTTTAATTGTGAATTGACTGCTAATTTCAGAAAATTTTCCTCTGCATGCTTCCATACTCTTTGCATTAATTTATCAAGCATAAATGTATTTATTTGTTAAGATTGTATGAAAATGGGACCTGTCCAATGTGTGGGTTTGTTTTACTTGACTATACTTATTTGCCTTTATGGATCAAACATAAAAAGGCTTTTATTTGGAACAATTTAGAAGGGCTTTAATTTGGGGAGGGGAGAGTTGGAACAGAATGGAAGAAAATGATAGCAATAGTAAAAAACTGTAAGAAAAGAATGTTTTTAAAAATCTTTAAAAACATACTGAAGAAAGCAGGAGAAAATTCAAAAGGGGAGACAGACAAACAGGGCAGTATTGGAACTGTCATGTTACAGTTGAAATCCATCCAAAAACTCAAAGTTGCAACAAAAAAAAAAGAAATCTATCCAAAAACCAAGATGTACTTAGTAGAGTCCAATGTAGGCCCTTTTTCCTGTTCTTCATATAGAACGGTGTGCTTATTGATATTTGATAAGTTTATAACAATAAAAAAGAAAATTTAAACAAAAAGTGCTCCTGATTTGGGGGAGGGATATGGGAGAGGGACCTTTTCCCTTG